GCAAGAAAATATTTAAGGGGGGTTTTCTATGAAAAACCATTGTACAAAGGCCAAGTTCCATTCCATTTTATAAAATTTTGGCAAAAGGTTCTTTAGAATTAAGATGCTTGATTAGTTATCTTAAAGGTTTAAGATTCTGAACCAATCATTAAAAATGAAAACAACAAAATATAACATTTTAGCAAACTTGTTTAAGTTAACTTATTACATCAACAAATTAATTAAACTAAAATTGATTGCTTCAAAGGTAAAAAAATAAAATTCCATCATCGATGATGTAAGGCAAAATAAATGAAAATTGTACTTTTTCCTAATTTTGATATCAAAAATATTTACCAAATGGTGTATCTAGTGGTTTTGTACAAACAGTTTGATAGATGTCCAACTTTTCATACCTACAGGGGTGGATTCACCCCCGAAAACCCCCTTAGACCCACCCATGCACGCGGGGGGAAGTGACTTACCCAATGGCAAATCGCAGAGGAGACAGCAGGCGGCCAGGGAACCGGCCGAAGCGCCTCCAATCTTCTCCAGCAACAGATGCGGGGCATACTTCTTGAAGCAGACGGCCACTCCGACGTGGTAGATGCCCAGAAATCCGCAGCCAGCGAATGACAGATTCATGCTTTGGACTCTGCGTTAGATTCTATAAATTGTCCGATGACTGTTTGTTGTTGTTGTTTTGGGTTTTGATCGCGTCACAGTTTTTCCTTCTTATTTTTTCTAGCACTTTCCACGGGTTTTTTCCGCGGATTCGAATGCAATTGCAGCTCCTGTTATTTTGCAATTTGTAGGCGGGTCTCGAATAAATCTCGTTTGGGTGTTCAATCACTATTTGTCGACTGGAAAATTTACTCCGCTCTCGAAAATGAAACGTTGGTGCTCGCGAACCGTTATTCATTCGCTCTGCCGACGGCCGCCCCTTTTTATACATTTCCCGGGAAGTCTGGCCGTTCGTGGTTTGTTCAAAGTGCCTAAAATATGCGTTTTATTCGATAGGCTTTGGTCGTATGGGGTATTCCTCATTTTATATCGTTTAATTTTCAGCTATTGTATTTCTTTTTACAAATGTTAAGTTAATATAATTGTCAATATTTATTTGTTTAAACACAAAATAAATTCCTTAATAAAACTATTTAGGAATGTGGTCAAAATTTTAAAAATTTATGCAAAGTTGTTTAAAATTTCGTCAGGATGCATTTTTTAATTTTTAATTATACATTTTGGTTTAAGTAATTATTGAGAATTCGACAATTTAACCGTTTAAGGAATACCCAGAGTATATTATTAACCTACTAAATAATTAATACTTAAATATAAAAAATAAACGATACCCTTACCAACCTCAAGCGATATATCGGTTTGCCACGCATGCCCATCACTAACGAGTACACATCCCATTTTTGCCATCGCTAGTACTCGGGTTGCGAAAAAGACAAGTATTCATGAAAAAATGGAGTTAGCCAAGAAACTACAAGAATTAGGATGGTAAGTACGCCGTGAAACACCAGAAAGGCCCAAGAACTAATAATTAATGCAGGCACCTGACGGAGGAGGGCCTTAAAATCGTGACCACAGCCGTTGGCAGCGAGGATCCCCGCAAAATAGTCGATGATGCACTGAATGTGAGTAGAGTAGGCGAAATCGAACCGGCTGCTTCGTGTGTAATCATTAATAATAACCCATTACTCACGATTCCAGCGGGATATCCGCGACATTGGCGGTGGCGCACTGCCCGCGAAACGCGAAGATGCCACATTGCCCGGAAAGATAGTGCTGCAGGTGCAGCGAGTGCGGAATATAGCCGCCCCCAAGGCGAATGAGGAATCGAAGGCGGCTCCCCGCCTCCTCCAGTTGGATCTGAGCGATGGCCAGAACTCCATTCAGGCCCTGGAGCTGGAGCCAGTGCCCCAGCTGAATCTCAATGTGGCGCCTGGCAGCAAGATCTTCTTTAAGGCCGACAAACTCCAGCTGATGCACGGATTTCTTCTGCTGAAATCCACTGAAATTCAGCTTCTCGGTGGCCGTGTGGATGCGCTCTACGAGAAGTGGGATCTGGCCAGAACCATGCTGAGATACGCGCGCAGTGGTCGTCCTCTGAGTGGCACCTCTGCTCCGCCCCCTTGGGTGGCATTTGGACGGAAAATCGATACCACCGCCGAAAGGGAGAGGAACTTCAAGAGTCTGGGCTCCTCGGGCGATAAGGATAAGCCGGCCAAGGAGAACGATGAGTTCAATGCCATGCGTACCGAGGCCATTGCTGTGGCCACCAAGGCGGGCGGCAAAAAGGTCTTTGGCGGCGGAGGCCAAAACATCATAGACCACAACATCAAGAAGATCCTGGACAAGGGTTTCAGCGAGGAGGAGGCCCGCAGTGCCTTGCATTCCACAAGGAACAACCTAGAGCGTGCTCTGTTCAACCTCAAAAGACGCAAGGAAGCTGGAGGAGTGGGTCCCATCGAAACCATGGGTCGTCCGGGACGTGGAGATCGTCCGCCCAGAGAGGGAAAACGTGGGGCTAGCGCCAAGGACGAAGCCGAAGCAGCCAAGCCCGCTGCCAATGCCACGCTGTTCGATTTCCTAACCACAAAACTGCCCGCAACGGAGACACCGGCTAGCAGCATCGTAGACACCTTTGCTGCCGCTCCAACTGCCCCACCCACCATTAACCACTTTAATCCTTTCAAGCAATTTGGAAACTCGAGGTTCAGCGAAGCAGATAGCAGATCTTCAGCTCTGGGCGGCGGAGGTGGAGGAGGAGGAGGAAAGTTTTCGGATCGTTCGAGGTTTGAGAACAATGTATCGAGCAGCTTTGCCGCGCATCGTGGTGGACATGCTGGTTCGTCACGAGGCGGAGGACGTAATCGAGGTGGTGGCAGGGACGAGAGGCCACCGAGGGAGGAGAGAGGCCACCGGGAGGAGAGGCCACCGAGGGAGGAAAGACCGCCAAGGGAGGATAGACCTCCCAGAGAGGAGAGACCTCCCAGGGAGGAGAGACCACCCAGGGAGCGTGGAGGAGGCTTTAACGAACGTGGAGCTGGACGTAATAAACCGGAAACCACGGCAGTTAAAACCTCGAACCGCAATGGAGCGGACAACACGTCGGGCAAGACCAATCCGGAGGCTAAACCAGAACAAGAAGCAACCAATGGAAAGGAGCACACCGGCAATCGACGTGGCAGCGATAGAGGCAGCAATCGTGGAGGCTCAAACAGAGGAGAGAACGGCAACGCCAATGGCAACAGGCGTAAGCAGCAGCCAGTCAACGCAGGATCGAATTCAGCAAATGCAACTGCGAAGCCCTCAAACAACGCAGGCGACGATTTCACCGCCCGTTTGAATAAGGTAACCGAAGAAACTGCTAATCTCAAGGTGAGCAGTGCTCCCAAGCGAGAGAATCGAAGCAAGCGGGGTCAAGGCAACCGCCAGGCGGGAACGGGATCGGGATCGGGAACAGAAAACCAGCTGAAGCCATCAGCAGCCCAGTTGCCTTCGCAGAAGCCGGAAAAGGCTCAAAATAACCAGAAGCATCAGAATCAGCATCACAATCCCCGGCATCATTCGCATGCCAACTACAGTCAATTGGCGAATGGCTATACGTATGATCCCAGCAAGATCATGGGTTTCCAGAGCAAGGAGGCCAACGAGTTTGCCATGAGCCTACTCAAGAGTCAGGGTGTCAGGTTGCCCAACCAACAGCAGCTGCAGCAGGAATTGCCACCGACGTCCTTTGCTCCCGTATCAGCCCCAGTTCATGGAAATCCCAATGCGCAGCCTGCTCCTGTGCCTGTGCCACAAGCAGCGGCAAGGGAGCAGTTCGGGATGACGCCTGGCGACCCTTGGATGTGGCAGAAGGGCGACTTGTGCATGGCCAAGTACTGGGACGATGGAAGGGTGAGTTTAGGTCGCTGAACTTTAATCAAATTGTAGTAGTCAGTTAAACTTATTAACCCATTTCTAATGAATGCTTATAAGATGTAAGTAAAATGTAGGTATTAATAACTAATTTAGAAACTTGTGAATTAAGGATATTTATTTACTTCTAAATGTAGTCAGAAATTTAAAGGAAATTGTCTAATTCTTTTTCCTAAATATTTCAGTATTACGAGGCTGAGATCACGGGAGTGTCGGAGAAAACCTGTGTTGTCTTCTTCATGGGCTATGGAAACCACGAGGAGGTTCTAAAGGCGGACATCCTGCCCATCACCGATGCCCAGAACAGGCCGCTGAGCAATGTTCAGCAGCAGCAGCAACACCAGCAGCAGCAACATCAGCAGCAGCAGCAGCATCAACACTCACGCTACCGCGGAGATCGTCAGCAGCAGGTCTACGTACCGCCCCACAAACGAGAGCATTAGACAACAGCCTGATTAAAACGTATTTAAATCAATTGAAATGTTTCGAATAAACAACTTTACAGTGAATTCAAACTAAAGACCGAGTTTTACTTAAAGTAAAATAAATTTGTAAACCTAAGACCAGTTTTGTAATAATATTTAAAGAAAAACATATATTAAACGTGTCGCCTCGTAAATATTCATATTTAAAAAATTCGAGTTATCACTTATTTATTTAAATTACTTAGTTTTTTCCTTAGACACAGTGGTGTTTATAATTTGGTTTCGTTATGCATAGGAGTTCAAAACGATTAAAAATAAGAAGAAATTTACACTGTTGGCGGTTCTTAAATATAGCCTTTTAAAGTTGAACAAATTTATTTGTTTAAACTTTATAGATCGTAATAGTTTTTTATATCGTAATCTTTCTTTTTTCACAAGAAGCGGTCATATATTAAAATTATAAATTGGCAGTAAGGAAATTAAAGATTATTTTTATAGCATAGTTCCTAACTTACTTACTATTAAAATGTATTTATTCTATTTAATATAATATAAAACTAAATAAGTTGCACAATTTTTCAAATTCGATTTTTTCCATTCCGATTGTTATCGATTGTCCCTGGTTTCTGCCCGATTATGGGCCGCACTTCCGCGCCACGCTGCCCAGCACTGGTGCATTTCGCGAATTTTTCCCTCATACATACATAACTTATTTTTAACATTTTTCGACGTGATGTGCATTTTCTCTCATAGTTTTGTGCTTAACCATGTAAAATATAATTAGCCCCTAGTGTATAAACAATAAGATTTAGTGCAAATAAAGGTAATGAGAGATTGGAAGAGTGTGGAAGCCAGCGAAAAACCGAAATGGACGATAAATTGGCCAGCAGAGCTACAGCTGGCTGGCTGAAATGCGCGAATAGCGCTGGGAAAAGTGCAACGCTGTCGCCTGCTGAGCATGCAAAACGCTTAACGAGCCGTATAAATAACTGACTAATCAGATAAAAGTGCAAAGCGGTCATTTGTATGTATTGTGCGCATATAAGTTGCCGTTTTCATATGGCAAAATCATCGTGTAGTGTATGCACCAGTGTTGTCAAACGGCCGTTGGGTGCTGGACAGCGACCGCAGCCGATACTCGTGTTTTGTTTTGTGGCATTAGTAGGGCAATGTAATAAGAAATAAAATAAATAAAAATGATATATGATACTGCTATACAAAATGTGTGAAAAATTTCCCCATAAAAGAAAGATTTTAAATGTGTGCCACCATTAATTGCCACATGCGATACTCGGCGTAGAGTGCCAGCGGCGTTAGCCAACACTGACGACAGTCTGCTGTTTTCAGCACGTAAAAAAGAAAAATGGTAAAATAAATCCTCCTAAATTCTCGGGCATTGTGCAAATTAACAAACAAACACGCTCCGCCTATAGACAGCCTTATAAACCATTGGATAACCAAGGAAAATACAAGAAAAGTGTTTTTATCAAGCCTGCAAACAGCTGAAAAGGCAACGCCAGGCCATGAAAATCTGACCATGTATATAAAAAAGCGAAGAAAAATCAACATTAAATAATAGTACGGTTTAATTAAAAAGCATTCGCAGTTACTAACAATATGCACTCGCCATTTATTGTAAATAATACCCCTTTATTGCCGCATATAAATAAAAACCGCACAACAACAAAACGCACACACATACACGCAACAAAAAAAGTAGCAGGAAAAAAAGAGAGCAAACACCTCCAAATAAAAAAAAGGAAAAAAGAAAATAAGAAAAGAAGCAACTTGAAAATTACTTTTAATTATGCTTGCAAATTTTCTTGTTCTCTGCAAGCGCTTTCCCCCCATTTCCCCCCTTTGTTTTCCCGCCCCCTGCGCCCCCCTTTGTGCCGGTGCGAGTGTGAAAATTGCTCTTATGAAATTTTGCGTAACCAAATTAGAATGAAAATTGTGTAAATCGAAAAATAAAAACGGCCAAAGGAGCACTTTGGATTGTTGTTTATCATACACCTACATGGTCGCAGGCGGGCTCTATAAATCCGTCCGTATATACTATACACACAATTGTTTGGGATCCGATAAGAAGCGAGCAGTAGCTATTGCCCCCAGATATAAACAATTTATGTTTTGGTCCAAAGAAGCAGACAATTAGCCGACAATTCTGGAGTATTATTTACCAGATATTACTTGGGTCAACAAAAATGAATATGTTCAATACTAAAATAGTATATGGCTTTAATTATACAATATGGAAGCCCATTAATCATATTCAAGCAATAATAGGTACTATAAAAGCACAAAGTTATAATGGAGTTAAGTGAAATGTTTTACAAATTTATCCATAAAACAACCTTTTTTTAAATGATTCAGTGAAATTAAACAGCCATAAATATAAAAACTGATACAGTATATAGTAAAAAACCCCAAGACTTTACTATCTTACTCTTGAAATGAACAAAGTAAATCTACATATATAACAAAAAAACGTGTTTAATCAATAATAACAAAAATTTATTCTGTTAAAGTAAAAAATAAATCCAACCGCAAAGTAATTAAAAATAAAACATGTGGACAAAAATGAATAACAATTGGAATTATGATATAATAATCTCTTTAAAATGCCACAACCATAAAAAAACACCTTAAATAATATAATATCAACAGGAAATAAAATGAAATAAATATAACAAGTAAACTCATAACCTCGCATAGTTCAAAAGTAAAATGCTATGATTAAAATCCCAAATTTCTATAATTGCAGTAAACATAATGCCCGCAAAGTATATAAACCATTAATGTAAAAACGATATTCGATTTCTTATAATTAACCACCCAAAACTGTTAAATTATGTAAGTAATAATTCCAAAAAGTTAACCCTAATTGATCATTGAACTCTTCGCCCGAACAGAGTCACCCTAGAAATTAGACGAGCGATCAAGACAAGGACCTGAAGAAGCCACACATGCATGAGTGACCGACCGGAGGAGACCCCAAGAACCAGCCAGTAAACGATGGCCGCCGAGAAGGAGATGCAGGCCCACGACATGGTGCGTCGTCGCAGTTGGGCCCGTGCCGTGGCGCTCTATGACCAGCTGATTTCGCCCAATCCTGGCCAGGGTGGTCAGGGCGCGGGATCGAGGGCCCAGAAGGACCAGCAGATCGCCTGCCTCCTGGGACGATGCGAGTGCCTCCTTGAGCTCGGAAAGTTCGAGGGCTGCCTGGCGGATGCCTACAAGGTGCTCACGCTACTTTCCGAGCAAACCGAGTGCCTGGCCAGCGTGTCCAGGGCACGCCGATGGCTCGTCCACGCCCTCTTCAAGATGCACAAATATGGGGTGGGTAAAAACTATTACTAAAATTAACTATTAAAGAAAACAACTTTACCAATTTAAAATTTTTTAGTAAGATAGTTAGGCTATTCGTTAATAAACTTCCCTTTTTTTTCGTTTAGGACGCTGAGATCTTTCTGAGCAAGTGGATCAACGAGCTGAGCGGCCAGCAGATTTACTCGGACATATCCAAGACCCTCGAGCGCTACAAGTCCATCATCCAGATGATCATGAATGGGCAGCACAAGGCGCAGGCCCTAAAGATCCCGCACGCCCGCCTCGAGGACGAGATGGCCATTCTGGACACCAAGCTGGATCACTGGGCCACCAACAATCTGCCGCTGGACAAGTACAGCAAGCTGCTCAGCAACAAGGGTTTGAAAAAGCGAGAGCAGCAGCAGCAACAGCAGCAGCAGCAACAACAACAACAGCAGCAGCAGCAGCAGCAACAACAGCAGAATGGCAATGGAATCGGCAGCTATGCAAGCAGCAGCAGCAGCTCCTCCACGGGTAGCAGCAGCACCATGTCCAGCTCAAGCACTAGTCTCCACAAGACCAACGATCTGCTGGCGGCCATGAAGCTCACTGCCGGCAAGCACCAGACGGGATCCGGTGACGGGTCGGGCTCGGATCAGGGCGACCAGGCGGCCCCATCCACCACCTGCAGCTACTGCACCATCACCTTCCAGACGAGGAACGAGCTGCGACAGCACTGCCAGACCGAGGCCCACCAGAAGGTGATCATGAGCGATGAGGGTGAGTTTCGGGGGATTATTTTCATCTATGAGGAAATTCTATGTTCATATAACCATCCAGGCAATGCTATTACTGAAAATCCTTTGAGCGATTAAAGAAAATTGAATATAACAGAAAAACCAGATCAGATATTTCTGGTTATTATCAGAATTATGATGCATTATATGATCTATAATTAGCAGGCCAATTGTAAAGGTCTTTCTTTTTTGTTTTACACATTTTTTTTTTAAATAATTAAAGGTTATGTTTATAGGACAATCTTGGACTTGTTTTGTTTTTGCATTACTAACTTTCTATTTGTCAATCCTTTGAAGAAACATAAATCAGCCTAATATGCGATAATTGTAATGTGATATCCCTTTACAGATACAATGTATTTTTGATCGGCTTACCTTAAAAAATCTAAATTTATAATTGATTTCAGAGCTGTGTCATCTTTTAAATTATTTTTCAATCTGACCTTCAATGTTTTTCATCTTAAAATTCCATTATCAGGAGATCCAAATAATAGGACTCCAAATAATTTTTTCAAAAACCATAAAATAAATGTATTTTCAAAACTCACTGAAAACATGAACTTTCAGTCACTCACAATAAAAAATATTTCTACTTTCCGTTTAGGCCGTGACTGGAAGTGGCGTCCGCCGCCCCGTGGCTACACGCTGGACACCTATTCCCTGTGCGAGACGTTTAGCGAGGCGCACACTTGCCACTACGGCGCCCAGTGCGTGGAGGCTCATGGCCAGGATGAGTTGAACGAGTGGAAGGAGCGTTTCGAGTACCGGCGAATGCGGATGCAGAAGGCCTGCGAGAAGGAGCTCTACGGCAAATCGTACACGGAGCAAGTGTTAGAGCGATGGATCCAGGCCACGGCGCCAGAGCGAGTAATGTGCGAGCGGGTACCGGAGATGGAGGCGCGGTGTGAGCAGCAGTTGGTCACCAGCATCAGTTCGAAGACCTCGAAGCGTGAGTGGCTCTTCCAGTTGGAGACGAAAAAGCCCCTTAAAGCGGTAGCCCTCCTTCAGGATGCCCATCGAAATCACTTTGCTCTCAAGTCCATCAAAATGTGCAAGCCCACGGAGTCCTGCATGGAGCTCAAATCCGATCAAGAGTGGGTAGCAACAGGCACTGCAGCTCAGACGGAGCCCTCCAGCGATGACTCTGCCACTCTGACCCACGAAATCACAGTTGAGTTTCACACGGAGATCTATGGAACCTTTCGCCAAGCCATCTGCTTCGATGTGGGCCAGGAACCTTTGCTCGTACGGCATCTGTGCGTTGATGTGTTGCCCGTGAATGATGCGGAGAAAATCGAGGAGATCAAGCGGGACATTATCAACAGTTCGGCCACCCGATGGGATGTGGCCAACACGCAGCTGACGCGTTTTGAAACCACCATTGGCACCCATCTGAAGACGGAGGCGTATCTCAGCGACCTGGAGCATGAGAGGGAGCTGCTGGAGAGGTATCCGTGTCCAAGGGCAGCCACCTTTACATTGACACAGTCTACCATTGTGGAGAAGCGGTTGACGCAGAACAATTACCGATCCCGCATCCATGAGCTGTTGTCTGTGGAGGAGATTGCCCGTTATGAGCAGATAGCAAGGTATAATGTGAGGACAAGGCTCACAGTGGCGTCGAATTACATCCTCACCCCAGCGGGAATGGCTACCAGTACAGCCAAGTATTCCCTGGCAGGTGAATTGTTTGCACTCATGCGTCTGGGCAAGGATATCTCGGAGGATACATCCCCCGGACGATTGATTCTCTCCAACTGCAGCAGTGTGTATATCTCAAAGCCCGAGGAACCGGATTCCAAATCAGATCCAAGTAATCGTGCAGTTTACGAGGCGTTGATCGAGGACAAAGGCAAGAATGTGATTTACTTGAAACTATCAGCCAAATGTGTAGAGGCAATGGCTCTGCAGGCGGATACGGAACTGGAAGTGGATATACAATTCCAGCTGAATCGAATGCCATACTGTGAGTGGCACAATGCCGTGGATAAGATCACCGACTTTCGGCTAATCTTTCCGGCCACAGAACTGGAGCCAAGTATACCTTGGACACCCAAGAAACAGTGGGCCGATGCCTGTGAACCCAAATTGAATGCCAAACAAAGGGAGGCTGTGAATGCCATCACCACGGCCCTGAGCATTAAGTTGCCGCCAATCCTGCTGATAGGACCGTTTGGAACTGGAAAAACCTACACTTTGGCTCAAGCTATTAAGCAACTTCTGGCGCAACCCGAGGCCAAGATCCTGATCTGCACGCACTCAAATTCAGCCGCTGATCTGTACATCAAGGAGTACCTGCATCCGTGGATCGAGGAGGGCCTGGAAGAGGCGACACCGCTGAGAGTTTACTACCACAAGAGATGGTCGGCCACCGTTAACAGTGTGGTGCAGAAGTACTGCATCACCGATGGAGTGGGCAACTTCAAGCGACCCACTGTGGAGGATATAATGCGGCACAGGATTGTCGTGGTTACCCTGAGTATCAGCATGGAGTTGGCCACCTTGGGCTTGCCTAAGGGTCTGTTCACCCACATCTTCCTGGACGAAGCTGCTCAGGCAATGGAGTGCGAGGCCATTATGCCGCTGGCTCTGGCAAATGATTCTACGAGGATCGTCTTGGCCGGAGATCACATGCAGATGAGTCCGGAACTATTCTCCGCCTTTGCCAAGGAACGCAAACTGCATATATCGCTCTTGGAACGGCTGTACGATCACTATCCATCCAACTTTCCCTGCAAGATCCTGCTGTGCGAGAATTATCGAGCACACGAGGCCATCATCCGTTTCACTTCGGAGCTTTTTTACGAACAAAAGCTGGTGGCTTCTGGAAAGCAACCAAGGCACGAGCGCTTTTATCCTTTGACCTTCTTTACTACCCGAGGAGAGGATGTCCAGGATAAAAACTCAACTGCTTTCTATAATAATGCTGAAGTTTATGAGGTGGTGGAAAGGGTTTCCGAGCTGCGAAAACGTTGGCCAAGTGCTTGGGGTAAACTCAACGATACCAGCATTGGCATCATGACTCCCTACGCAGATCAGGTGTTTCGCATTCGTTCGGAGCTGAGGAAACGCCGCATGGGTGGAATATCCGTGGAACGAGTGCTCAACGTCCAGGGTAAACAGTTCCGAGCGGTGTTCCTCTCCACAGTTCGAACCCGACGCACCTGTATGCCCCAAGGAAGTGCCCCGGGAGCAGCCGCCTCGGCCACCATTGGCGATGCCGACACGGATTATGGTTTCTTGAGCAACTCCAAACTGCTAAACACGGCTATCACACGTGCTCAGTCTTTGGTAGCAGTGGTTGGTGATCCGGTGGCTCTTTGCTCCATTGGCCGCTGCCGAAAGGTTTGGGAGCGTTTCATCGAGATCTGCGACGAACATAAGTCTCTATTCGGCTTGACCTGGTCGAATCTACGTTCCCAACTGGATGGCGTGGAGCTAAAACGCGGCTATGTGTTGAATCCCCTGGCGCCGGAGTTTGTCCCACGTGCCCTGCAACCGGAGGCGTATCTGCGGGAGCAGGCTGCTCTCTATCTTAATGGACCGCAGCACGGACATGGTGGCCATGGGCCACCTGGTCCTCCGGCTCATTTTGCCAATGCAGCTGGGATGCTGGGCCCTGGACCAGCGGCAACTGCCCACCAGATGAATCAAATGGCAGCTGCCATGGCTGCCAATCAACAGCTCACCCACATGTACTCCACCCACATGGCGGCGATGATGGCCGCTGCCGCTGCCGTCGGAGGAAAGTCTGGAAATGGTCCTGGACCGGGAACCGGCGGAGGTCCCGGTCCTGGCCCAGGACCACCTCCACACTACGGCGGCGGAGGCGGTGGTGGACACATGGGAATGCGGGGACCACCACCGCCAGCACCGCATTTGCGGGGAATGCCACCCGGTGGACCGCCACCAGCACAGCAGCCAGGCGGAGGTGGTGGCGGCGGAGGACCACCACCACCATATGGACAATATCCAGCCATGCAGCACTGGCGACCACCGCAGCAGGGACAGAATCAAGGTCCCGGACCGGGACAACAGCAGCCACCGCAAAATCCCAATGCCAGTCTGTGGGGGCCACCGCCGCAAACGAATCCGTGGAGTGTGCTGCCGCCAAGTAAGCAGCCGCAGCAGCCTCAGCCACCGCCAGTGAGTGCTCCAGGACGTGGACCAGGACCTTTGCCACCGCCACTCAATGCAAATCCTTCGCTGCCCCTGAGAGGTGGTAGTGTGCCGCCACCACCGCCAAATGCTTCGGCGGCGGCTCAGCTGCTGAGGAACCCCAGCGAACTGGGCTACTTGGCCAAGAAGACGCTCTACAACCATGGCCAGGCACCGCCGCACCATCAGCTCTATGGACCCGGGCCAGGACCACCGCCGCCTCCATCTCAGCAGCAACAGCAGGCACCGCCGATGGGAATGCAGAGGGGCAGCAGTGTGCCCAACGGACCCATGTCGCCCATGGAGAACGGACCACCACCGCCACCCTATCTGCGGCACAACGGAAGTGGCTACAATCCAGGAGCACCACCACCGCCGCAACAGCAGCCACAACCGCCACCGCCCAATCCGTTTATGTATGCTGGCAAGCAACCCTCTCCGAGCTCAATGCGATTTGGTCCTCTGACCCATGAGCTACTGCCACCCAATGTGAGCATCTATGAAATGGCTTTTAATCCGAAGGAAGAGCAGTACAAGTGGTACCTTAAGCTACTCGAGACCGTGGGCCAGGAGGGTGCCAACAAATTCGCGGATATGTTGCGCCAAGTGATGGCCACTCTGCAGCAACAGCAGCAGCAGCAACAACACAAGCCACCGCAGCAGCAGATGGTCAACAATCCGATGCTCAACAATCCTCACGTGCAACGGCCACAGTATCCCATGATGTATCCCCAGGGTCAACAGCAGCAGCAGCAGCAACCGCCACAGCAATCCGTGGATGCTTCGCCGCCGCTGGAGAACTTCAACCAACAGATCGATCTGGTCTTTAACTCGATTATGAATGGAGCCAATGATATTGCACAGCCCATACTGCGAGATGTTCTGGGAATGGTGGCTGGCGCTGGCAATGCCCCAGGTCCTCCTTTGACCAACGGCTTGAACGGCGCCGATCTCCAACAGCAGCAACAACAGCAACAGCAGCAGAGCCGCCTGTTCGCCATGATGCAGCAGCAACAGCAACAACAGCAGCAGGCCAAGCCACCTCCAGGACCTGGACCACTGTACCCCAATCATCTGGGCGGGCCAGGACCTGGTCTGCATCAGGCGCCACCTAATGGCGGTGGGAATAATCTGGGCGGCGTCGGAAACACCAACTTTATGGGGAATGGTAAGAGAAGAAAGATTTAGAAAACCTTTGGGTTCAACCTTGTATAGCTATTCTAATAAACTTATTTTTATTTAGCCGGCAATGCTCTGTTGAATGACAAGCCCTACAACAACCTGAACATGCACAACAATGTGGGCGTGAACAGCGCAGGAGTTGGCGGCGTTGGCATCGGAATAGGTGCCGGTGGAGTCGGCAACCACAACAATAACAACAACAGCAACAACAACGGAATGCTGAGCAATGGCAACAACTCGGTGCCGCTGTACCGAAGACAGGCGCTGGCCGGCAATGGGATTGGAGGCGGAAACGGCGGCTACAACAACATGCATGGAATGGACGCAGGCGCCAATTTGATAGAGGCACTCTTTCAGGCCAACAACTCGGTGGTGGATCACTCGGTGAAGTCATCGGATCATATGCACGGCCTGCTGTACAACAATTTTAATACGCTGAAGGGTGGCGGTCACGATGTGGATCTGTTCCAGGCCATGGCGCCCAGTGTGCCACACTCGGAGGCGGCCAATCATCACCAGCAGTCCTCCGGCTCGTCGGCAACCACCTATGCGGCTGTGCTGAGCCAGGGACCACAGGCGGTGGTTGGCGGAGGCGGTGGCGCAGGACCTCCGTCGGGACAGTCACAGGCGCAGGCGGGCGTAGCAGGACCAGGGGCGGGCGGAAAAGGCGCGCAGCCGGGTGGCGGAAGCGATCTCCTGGAGAAGGATCCGTTTGCGGCCATCCGGGAGTTGGGACAGGCCACGACCGGATTCTACAACTACTTTCAGTGAGATGCGGTGACGGCAGCACATCTCCTGCTGTGGCATCAAAGGGTCTTAATCTAAAAACAGAAAAAAAAAACGAAAAACAAAACAACAAAAAAAAACAGAAAATTAACAACAAAAAAAAAATTGCAAAATTCTTAGCTGAACAAAAAAAAAAACGTAAAAAATGCCCCAGACAATGGGAAAAACGGAAGAGAAAACGAAAAAGAACTGCTTCTTAATTATAGTTGCCCCTATCCTTATTTTTTGCTTTCTTTTAAATTGCAAATTATTTAATTACGGTAGCCTTAAGTTGAACGTGTGAATTATTATAATTAATTAATAATATACATACATACCTATTTAGTTAATGTTTAGTGGTTACTAAAGCTCGCCCAAATGCCGCAGCAGGGACTGGTTGACGTTCAGCCCTGGCCTCCGACCCCCAGCCCCTTTGTTAGCCTCCTGTTACGCCCCCCGAAAGCCCAAGGACGTCTGAGGCGCCTCCATTGGCTCGCAGCATCCAACGGGTTGCTCTGAGCAGCCCCGAAAAGATAACATAAATATATGAACGCCTACACAAGAAAACCTTATCGATTAGACTCTTGAAAAACATACAACATAAAAAAAAGGAACGAAAAAAACTTTACAAAAAAAAAACAAAAAGCAAACAAATCTAAAACCCACAAAAAAATGAAATAATTATGTAATAACTATAAACTGCAAAATGCATAGTTAGCTTTAGATGTAAGATTATTCAAAAAGATTTTGTATTGTACATTTTTTTCTATTTTTAGTGCGTAGCCTATATGCTACGATTCAGTTCGTTCTCTACATTTAATTTCTCAGTTATAAATTTCAATTTTGTACAGGAGTTGACTATTTAAAACAAAACAAATATTAACAAAAACCATTAAAACTGAAAATTTGTCACGCACTCAAATACATAAATTATTATCCTTATTAACTGTAACTTCAGATTATATACCTATTATATATATTTAATGGCTATAAGGGATATGAACATTTTTGTGTACGAATTAAACTTACCTACATACGAACATATATATATAATATGCATATAAATATTTAAATTTGTGCACGAGTTATTTGTTCCTTTGCCCATTGCCCAAATTGTCGATGCGTGTGTAAATTATATTACGATTGTTGGCCGACCCCATATTTGCAGCCATGGTCCCGAATCCCCAAAAAAAAACCCAAAATCCCCACCCCACTCATCGTTTAGTCCGTTTTGACGACTGGTAAATGTAAAACATGCAAGCAAGAAATATAAGAATTTTTCGATAAGAGTATTTAACCGATTCCTTGAGTTTTATCGTAGTATTTTGGCTAGCGACTTGGATAGCATAAACATATTAACTTTATATAACTGTAATTATTTAACCAATGTATCGCATAACAAACTAAAAAGCGGAAAAGAACGAAAATTACATTTAATAAACAAGAAATTGTACTTTTAATAACCCCCCCTCCACTCATGTCATGTGTTAAACGATCGATCTTCTAGGAAAACCCCTGCATACACCGACACGAACACATTTAGTGTTAAATTATATGTAAATTTAGACACCACACATGCAGCAACTACAAACGATAATAGCAGACACACCTCACATCGAGCACCACAAGAACAGAACACAGAAACCAGAAGCCTAACGAAATTCCTCCATTTCAACTGTATTGTATATGTAAAACAATTTATATGAAACCAGCTATGCTGAAAATACTTATAAAAAAAATCACAAAAAAAAGAGAAAACAAAAAAGATCCCCAAGGGACAGCAAAAAAAAAACAAACTTGCAATTTTGGTTTCTTTTGCCGGCAGCAAAATGAGTTTTTCATCGCATCTGGATTCGAAATTACTGACATCTAAATTACTTCTTTTAAATCTATATCCATTAACCCAATTAACATTTTTAAGCTTGCCATATAGAATCGCTAAAGTAAATTATATTTAGTACAAGATAGTTGGAGGAACTTGTATGGAGAATATATTTTTAAAACTCATGGCTCAAAAATTAAGCCACTATATTCATTTTAACCTTATGTTGTCAAACATTAAGTCGATTTCTTTTTAAAATCGATCCTCTCTTTTATTTAAATAGTCCAAGATTTATCAGTTAAAGATAGATGTTTGGAGGGACTTCCTGTTTACAATTTTGTGCTAAAATGTTTGGAGCTATGGAAAAGCGTCATAGAAATATCATGAAACTTTAATGAAAATAAGTCTCTTGTGAACTAGACCATCTTGGATCTTTTACCTAAAGATATAACCTGCTATAACGTGTACTACAATTACCCCCAGCAAAAGAGTAATTCAAGGCTTTCTTGGTGCCAAAAAATCGGCATTTGCTGGAGTTTATTAGGATTTTTTACTTAACTAGGTACTTAATTAGCAGGTGAAACTAATCCTACGGATCTAGACGGGTATGTTAAGCGCGGAGAGCTCCTCCTTGACCTCATCGTACAGATCCTTGTAGTCGTCGTTCTGGCGAACCAGGAGGGCGACTGTACCGCGCTTCACGCCCATGGCAGCTCCCAAATCCGCCCGACTGGGGGTGTAGGTGTACGGGATGCCCTTCTCCTCGCAAACGGCGGGCAGATGGCACATGATGTCCACAGGTGTCACATCGCCAGCGAAGATGCAAATTCTGAAGAACACATAGTATAAGTTTCTGGATTTCTGGCGGGGATTAGTCACTACTCACCCAGTTTCGCCCTTGCGCAGGCGGGTCTGCACATCCTTCAGTCCATTTCGCAGAAAAGTCTTGTGCTTCATGGCCTTCTTCACCAGTTTGTAGCACTTTTTGGCCAGTTTTTTACCTGCCATCGGTTTGGCAATGGCGTTCACGAAGACCATCTTGTCGTCGTAGGACTCCTCCTCCTTGATGGTAACATCGCCGCTGGCCACCACGGAGGCATCGCCATCCTCGGAACGCTCTGTTTTCACTTTAACCATTGTTTTTTCTGTTAAAAACGTGGATAATTTCGGTACAAACTGCGGTTCTTCTGTTTCAAACACGTGTTCAGTGTGACTGTGACTCGAGTTTTGAAATATACCAATCCGCTCATAGAAATATACTAAAATAAATACCGTATATGGACAACCATGGGCTGCTTAGCAAAGACATGATCCATGGTTATGACTTTGATTCTGTTTCCAGGTATCTCCATACACTGAGAAAAATTATATTTAGGAAGTTCAATAGAAAAAATATAAGGTGTTCTTTTCTACAGTTTGCACTTAAGAAAAATTAAAAAAATGTGTATCCATTTAAAATTTTGAAATTTTGGCAAGCGATTTTTTAAAATTTGAATATCTATAAATACATGCTGGAAATAAAAGAGCGAACAAAAATGTATACAAAATATTTAGTTCCTCAATGTTGAAATGTTCTTTTTGCCCTGTGTAAATGTTCCAAATGAAATGTTTGTGCAGAACATCTAAAAATATTAAAAGCGAGTTATTTCAAAATATCTTTGTACATTGTTAAACCGCATCCCACCAATTAAAGTCCTACTGCTATGACCACATTAAACATTTATTAAAATCTCACATACAAATTAAAATTTCACATGACATAAAACATTGAAAAATTCACATGATGTTATGGGTGATATAAAAATTAAAAGAACTGCTTGGCTAGTTGGATGATGCTTAAGGCCAATCTGACCTCCCGAGCGCCGCGGACGCCCAGTGCTGCCAAATCCTCCAGGGTCATATGGATGAGCACCTCGATGTCGATCTCCTGGCGGGTGAACAGCTCCGTGAGTTGTTCATTACCAGTGCGATCGAGCAGGGATTTTACACGGGGACTCAAATTGGGGTGCTCCACCGGGGAGCTGGGTTTAAAGCGTGGATGAATGATACGTGGCATGGGACTTTTGGGGTCCTCCGATTTAATCTTAGACCTCTCCATTTTCAACTTCAATGCTTCATGCCTCATCCGCGTTTCCTGCAGCTGCCGGATATCCGGTTTCGACCTGGCCTCACTCTTGGTACGCAATCTTGGATCTACAGGAATGCAGGATTCTCCTGATAGAGTGGTTGTTCCTCCATTGAGTAGGGTACTTTGACTTGTTGGCGAAAATACGGATCGTGTGCGCATGAATTTTTGTGAAAAACGCCGAGGCGGCAGACTAGCATTTGGTAAATGTTTCGAAGCTGAGGTTGGTCGTGGTGATGGAACCGTAAGATTATTGGCCTTAGGGATTCCAAAAAGTCCATATTTTGTGGAACCCCTCCTAACGCTGCCCCCAGTGGGCGTGACTTCGTCAAATGTAAAAGTTTCGGTGGTGCGCGGAGTTAATGGGGCCAGTGGAGATGCGGGATCTATTATAATTATAAAAAATATTTTTATCAGGATTTTCTTTTTACAAAGTTTGTTGTATTACCTCTATAGACACGGTTGTAGCGTTCCATTATATTAATTTACTAAACAATTTTTCACGAGCACTAAGACGACAAAAAACGTGCAAAAAGTATTGCGAAAAACAAGTAACTGTAAGTTATAGCTTTGATAATGCGACCGCGTGAAGAGCGCCAAAAATTACCAAACATACGACGATCAGGTAACTCATTAAGCTAAATAATAGCTAGGTAGTATTCCATGATCAGTGTTTGAAAACGTTGCTTAGAAATATAGCCCCTTAAAAGTTGCTTAAAATATTTTATAAATTTTAACAAACTTGTATTTTAGTAAACATATAATGGTCAAAACTTATAAAAAGTATATGTTTCATGTTCTTAAATATTTCTTAGAGTTCAAAGAACTTTTATTTTGTAAACATTTTAAGGCTAAAAGTTGTCATAATAATATGATTCATGTACAAATCACTTTATGTAAATTAATCACAAAAAAATATATACAAAATGTATAAAATATATAAGAAAGCTATCTACGCTTTTAGTAATTTATATCAATTTAGAATGGAATATTCATAAGCCAGACCTAATCTATTATTAATCTCTGATGTTATCCACGTGAATTGGTTGAAATAAATAAATTAGAACGAAAGTTCAAGGAACTCGCTACGCATTAATATTTTCCATTTGACATGTCTAAGTACCAAATTTCGTTTTTATACCGTCTACATAATATTATTTTGCTTCTAATTAAAGCGAGTTTGGCCAGTTTTTGTTGTCGTTACTTTTGCGATGCGATTCCATTTGATTTGATTCGATTTTTGCGACGAAGTTTCTGCGACGAACTTTTTTTGGGAATTAGCAATCAACAGATGAACCGATAAAAGGTAAACAATTGTTGCACAAAACGACACACAGCGTGCAAATAAGGTGAACACAAATAATCAATTAAATTAATTTAATGACGGCAGAAAAATCGCAATTTTCGTAAGCAATAATAATTAATATTCATAAAGCTTAACGAACATAAAGAGAAAAATATATCTACTTTGATAAGGATTTTTTTAAACAAAATTTAGAGATAAAATAAAAATTAAATTTAAAAATATAATATATAATGTTTAAAAATGAAAATAAAATACATTATGATTAATATTTACTTAATTCGTAGATTAAAATTATTTTCATTTAGTTGAACAACATTCTGCAAAAATAACAAGGAAGAACGCTATAGTCGAGTACCTCGACTATCAGATACCCGTTACTCAAAGGGAAATGGAGATATGCAAGCAGCAAAGCGAAATTAAAATGCGCCACCTACCGGCGGTAGACAGATTTAAGCGTTATGGGCGTTAGAGTGGGCGTGGCAGAATTATTTTTGGATCAATCGATAGGTATTGACGACACCAATACATTTCAGTTAAAATTTTTTATCTAGCATGCAAATTGTGGGCGTCACAGGTTTTCGCGGTTTGTGGGCGTTTAAGTGGGCGTGGCAGAATTATTTTTGGATCAATCGATAGGTATTGACGACACCAATACATTTCAGTTAAAATTTTTTATCTAGCATGCAAATTGTGGGCGTCACAGGTTTTCGCGGTTTGTGGGCGTTTAAGTGGGCGTGGCAAACTTTTTTTTAGGTCAATCGATAGGTTTTGATGAGAACAATACATTTCAGTTAAAATTTTCTATCTAGCATCAAAACTGTAGGAGTTACAGTTTTGGGCGGTTTGTGGGCGTTAGAGTGGGCGTGGCAGTCTACTGAAACAAACTTGCGCTGCGTAAGAAGCTCAGGAATCTGTACGCCAAATCTCAATAGCCTAGCTCTCATAGTTTCCGAGATCTCAGCGTTCATCCGGACGGACAGACAGACGGACAGACGGACAGACGGTCAGACGGACAGACGGACAGACGGACAGACGGACAGACGGACAGACGGACATGGCTAGATCGACTCGGCTAGTGATCCTGATCAAGAATATATATACTTTATGGGGTCGGAAACGCTTCCTTCTGCCTGTTACATACTTTCCGACGAATCTAGTATACCCTTTTACTCTACGAGTAACGGGTATAAAAATGGTTCTGGATGACACATAAATTTAATATCAAACAAGACAATCTGAAAGAAGTTTATGGGATCTGATGAAATATTTAAATAACAGGTATTTTCTGAGATATGGAGAAATTAATAATTGTTTTCTGTGCCTCGAAATCATGACATTGCCACCTGTTAAGGCCCCATAGATATTATTGATGTTGCTGCTGTTTGGTTTTCAGGCGCTTACCTTGCTTTATTTGGTTTTTCGTGGGCAAGAACAACATGGAATTGTTGTCTTTGCGCAGTCGGCAATGCCGAAGCTTTAACCTGCTCTTTCTCCCGATAAAATACCCCCTATCTTGGCCACATGTGGGGCTTGTTGTTGCCGGCTTTTGGCCAAAAAACAGCTGAGCTCAGACCAGCTGCTTTGTGTTTATATTTTTTCCAAGAGCTAAGTAGCGCCTGCGCAGAAGCTACGTAGCCCCCCTGGTCCACAATTTCCAAAACCAAAAAGCCGAAGCGGAAAGCCGAGCTTTTTACGACTCGAGAACAGACGTATAAAATTGGGATGCCCAGCCACAAAGCGATTCAGTCGTCTAACGGAGTTCAAACCAAGCTGAGCTGGAAAAGTTCTGGTGCTAAACCGTGGAAAATCCATCGAAGAGTCTGTCGTAAAAATTTAAAAAAATCAAACAAAAAAACCCAAGGCATAAACAAGTGCGTTCGAATCGAGTAAAAATCATTTACGAGTGCGAGTGCAAGTGCTTAAAATATCCAACAGAATATATCCAAAGCAAATTTGGTAGAGCCAAATAAATATATACCCCTATATCACTTGGGCAGTGTTCTTGAGACATGCAAAAGTAGCCAGTGGAGTGTTAAATAAAACAAAAAAAAAAGGAAAAAAATCACTACAACAACTACAACCACAACGACAACTTGCGAAACGTATTTTTTCGAGTGTTTTTCTGTTTGTTTGCCGCCGACGACGACGAAGCCGCCTCAACAAAAGAACTTTGGTAGGTTTTTCGGTTTTCCACTAGAGCTTTGCCTTTGTTTGCCTTGCTGTGGATTTCATGCAAATTAAATTAAGCAATTAAACGAAACACACCAAAATTGTATTTGCCAAGCTCAATTCTTTAGATTTTTTTCAGTTTTTGCGATTGGATTACCTCATATAAGACCTCCCTAGGTTATTGCAAAAGTTTCGTTATTAATTTGGATTTTTTGTTTTCCTTTTTCTGGGTATTGGCAATAATTACAAAATTTACCCAATCGGTCAGTTATTATCGCTTTGTCGGGTTTTTGCTTGTTTTTTACTGGACTAGTTTTCGCTAGGGGTATGAATACATTTTCGCAGTATTTTATTTTTCACTTTTACCCGTTGCTCCTCTCATGGAAATTCAAATAAAAACTCAAAAAACTTTTTTAATAACAACAAACGGATGGAAAGGGGGGGGGGGTAGTGGGTTGGGGTGCACTGGAATATATTTAATTGAACAACAAAAAGAAAGCCAAACAATCATAGGCAGCGCAGAAAAGTGGATTGTTGTTGCTCTTTTGCCGCTCAAACGATACACAATGGATAACAAGAGTACAGCTGCCACCTAGAACAAGTGGCTCAATAAATATTTAAAAAATAAATAATGACAGAAAAACCTAGAATGAAATGAAATATTTAAAAGGCTATATAAAATATGGGGGCTAGAGTTGGCGCTCAAAAAAAATATTCAAATGGGTAAGGATTGGGCTGTGGAAACTCAGCGTATTATATGTTGTTCTCTAAAAAATCAAAAGACCGAGTTGATTTGAAAATAAAAAGCTACAGTATAAAGTATAATAAAAAATTTTAGAACGAAAGAACACTCGTTAACTATATTTAAGTAATAATGGTCCAATAAAATGTTGGAAATTATTTAATATGTAAGAAAAACTTAAGAGGAAAATGTGAATTTTATAACATTTTATACCGCATAATCATAAAAATAAAAATTTCTAGTCTTTCAAAAGGCTTTGACTTTACCTACAATATTTATTAGAACAGCATTCTATTTTTAAAAAGCAAAACTAAACTTGTATCTGCCGACACATAAACAAAAATATGTTTGCCCAATACATATATTGCCGCTAGTCTTTCATCAAAAATAAATAAAATCGGGATAGAAATTTATAATGAAGTCCATGAACCCCATTTAAAATATATATAAGGACCCTTATTCTGTCAAAAAAAAAGTACAAAAGCATAAAAGCAAATTTGGAAATGTGCAAACAAAAAATTCGCTTTGGCAAACAGATTTGAAAATAGACCAAAACAAACCGAAAGCAATAAAAGAGCACGGGAAAGTACGAGGCAAATTGTTGAAAAATGTAACAAGTCAAAGGAATTTTTTCAACGTCAAACTGGGTTTTCCCTATTTCCCCATTTACTCTCGTTTGCCTGCCCACATTTTTGCGATAATTTAAATAGGAAAGTTAAAAAATGAAAACCAAATTTTGTTTGCTTTCGCTGAAAACGTACAAAAAACATGAAAATTTGAAATAGGAGTTGAACTGCGATATAGTGGAGTGTTTGGTATAGAGTTTTGTGGATTTTGCGAATTCGAATTTAATGGAATTTTTAAACAGCATCTAGGCTAGGGGTATACTTTTAAGAGCTTGTAACACACATGGATTTGATCGGTAATAAGAATATTTAAATAAAGGCGAATCATATATTCCTTTTAAGACCAACAGAAACCCCACTCCAGAGTCACTTTTTCTGAAAGTTCACAGACTCGAAAAGATTAAAACAAATGGCAAGGAACTTTCTGGCTTTTTGATTTGGCTGATTTTCAACTTTTCTTTTAATGCCCCCCCCAGCTCAATTTTCTCAGTCAAATATGCAAATGGAATGCGTTCAAGTATTTGTTGAAAATTAAACGGAAATAATTGAATTATGCTTAAATCGAATGAGAAGCATTCAATTCAATTCTGACGGCATGGCAGCAATCGCATTGAATAAATAAATATTTGGCCGCAGTGGAAACTAACCTATGGCGAGGAAAATAATGTAAATATTTGCGTAATCCAACATCATTTACATAAGGGCACCCAGGAAAAGCGATTGGAACGAAAAACTCAA